CAAATCTCCTCATTGGTGACAGGAAAGGCATCCGGCCAGTAAACACTCTGCTAGCTCCATTCAGCTGCCCAGATTACACCCCCAAAGGGGTCATTAAAAGAAGAAGATAATGATGACAGGTAGTCCTCAACTTACAACAATTCATTTAGTAACCATTTGAAGTTACAACGGCACTGAAAAAAGTTACCTTTTTTCACACCAACCTCCATTGCAGCGTCCCCGTGGTCATGTGATCAAAATTCAGGCGCTTGGGAAGTGACTCACATTTATGACCACTGTAGTATCCCCGGGTCATGTGATCACCTTTTGCGACCTTCTGACAAGCAAAGTCAATGGGAAAAACTAGGTTCACTTAGCAACCCTGTTAACCAATTTAACAACTGCAGTGATTCACTGAGCAACTGTGGCAAGAAAGGTCATAAAAAGGAGCAAAATTCGCTTATCAAATGTCTCACTCATCAGCAAAAATTTTGGGCTCAGTTGTGGTCGTAAGATGAGGACTACCTGTATGGTTTCCTGTATATTCTGCTTTAAGAAAACTCTTTTCAAGGGTGGCTAAAAAGTGCATCTGAAAACATGAGCATCATATAAACCCAGCAAATTCAAGTGTCTCAGCTACATTGGACATTACAGTTTCTACACTGCATTGTAAAACACCATTTATCCTTAAAAAGACAGGAGAGGGATTCCTATCGTTTTCTATTTCCTGTAGTAGTTTTTTGGTCCCTTCAGTGAAATACAATTGCCGCTTGTTCCCATTCCTGCTGACACATTCAATACCTACAAGAAAACCATTAAGAGCTTCTGGCCAGGAATGAGTTAGAGTTGCAAACAAACTTTGACTGTTTGACATTCAGGTCTGCACTCTCCTTTCTGATAATCATGCAGCAATGAAGTCTGCCAGGTGCATAATGTCCTCAGTGTCCCCTGAACCAAGCAAGTTGTTTAGCCACGATTCTGGGCAACTTCAAGAGACAGGCTAGCTCAATCTTGCCTGAAAGAGGGAAAAGGAGCACAGAAGAGTCTTGCTGAACTTTTTTTCCCCCCTGTTCTAACAGATTAAGCAAAGTATTTATTATACTGCCAAATGCTGATTATTTTAAAGCAAGAATGCGCACCTTTCTCTGAATCAAGAACTGCATTTGAGCACTGAGCTGCATACCAGGGACTGCACTCCAAATTGGGGGTGGGGGGGGGAGAGTTGAAGCAAGAAGAAATACCAAAATTGAGTTTATATCATTTCTATATTATTTTTAAAAAATACAGTTTGCATTATTGTTGTCAATGATGCATATAATGCTTTACTGGTTCTATTATAATTTAACAGCATTGTTTAAAAGTTTCTGGATATCATATCCAAATTTTTTAAATGCACACAGAACTCAGTTGTTTCAAGTTCAGCATCGGGTTTTAGATCAAGATCCCCTGAAAAATTAAGTTTTTATACCTTCACATGCACCTTCTTTGAGACTGCTAATCAAGTTTCTGTTTAATAAAAATCAATCTTTACATTTCTGCCAATCATTTGGGAAGTATTTTTCATCTTTTGTTCCTTTCTTTTCTCATTTATGAGATGGGAGTAATGTTTTCTTCATAAAACGTTCACTTACACGTGTTCTATTTCTGCTTTAAACATTTCTAAAATATTTATGTGAGGAATGATAGCACTCCATTTTCAAAAGCATGAATAATGCATTGGGATTTAGGCTTCTGTGCTGGTTTGTAGAAAAAAAATAAGGCCAGGAGTTTGGTAGGAGCTTGGCTTTTCATGAAATATGGAAGAACATGGAAGAAAATGGATTGTTTTCCAGCATTTTGGCATGTTTTGAGCTGGCTGTAAAAAAACCCTCACCCACTCACCTTATGCTCTGTATTATTGCATTATAGCTTATGCCGTGAATGTAACCCCACTCTATGACAGCTTTGGGCAGAAGACAGCCCAAAGAGTAGCACTGGCTCCTGGGTACCTCAGGAGATTTCAGCTTTTATTTAGCCACTGGCTCTTTCTAGTTTTCTCCTTCAACCTTCTTTTATAATGCTCATTTGGCCTCGCTCTAACGCTGCATAGCCAATGAATCTGACAAGGCTTCCACCAAAAGACATCCAGGGCCACCAGTGTTGTTTTATATATAACTGCAGATCATGTGAGAGTAATTTTTCATCTCTTGTCCTCATTATTTGTCCTTCCTTTACAACCCAGAGATTGTATGAAGGAGATTAAAGCTGCAAAGGCAGAGTGCGGTAATCTTATCTAAACAGCTGAAAGAAAAACTGGTACCTGGAAGCATTAATAAAATTGCTGCCTTGGGGAGATGGAAATCTTGGGGTATTATCAGGAGGAACATATTATTGTTTGCATCCACTGGGTGCGATGTGCAGACCAGGTTTATTCATTCTGTGCATAGCGTATTTTAAGCAATGACTGTCTCTGTAAGTCTTTTTCAGGAGTTGCAAGTACATGTCAGAGCTGGCTGTGTTAAATCCCTATATCTGACTGGAAGATATTTATTCGGTGAATATGAAAACATGGACTAGATCAGGTATCTCCAACCTTGGCAACTTTAGCACTTGTGGATTTCAACTTCCAGAATTGCTCAGCCAGTCATGCTGTCTGGGGAATTCTGGGAGTTGAAGTCCACAGGTCTTAAAGTTGCTAAGGTTGGAGACCCTGGACTAGATAACCTATTTAAGGAACCTGGAGGAGGATGAACTCTAGAAAAAAGTTTTGGCCCTTCATACAGTGTAGGACCTTTACTTCCATCAGCCCTAAACAGAATGGTTGTCAGTCAGGGGTGATGAAAGATGTAGGTCAAAATGATCTGTTAGCAGTTTTTAAGTTCCCCCAGTACTATATGGGATGCTGGTCTCCCACCCCAAAGGGTCAGAGATTGGGGTGTGGGGAGGGAAATCAGATTTTCCCCCATCTCGGTTTCCCTTTCCATTTTCACTAGGGTTAAAACCAGAAAGAAATTGTGCCCCAGCCTATTTCCAATGTAAATGCTGGACAATATGCCAAAAATATCTGAGTATAGTTTCAGGAAAAGAATGCTTGATCTCTATCATCTTTTGTTATTCAAACGAAATATGAAATATTAACAGTAATCTCTTTCCCACCATACTCTTTTTGTTCAAGTTTAATTTGGCTTCTGTTCTTTTGTGCTATAATTAGTTCCTCACATGCAGGACAGAAAAACACTCCATTCCCTTAGGTAATTTAAGAACAAAGATAATCTCAAGTAGTAGCACCCCGACTCATAATCCTAGGTCAGAAAAGCAGGGAAGCATAAAGCAGAGTGAAAGCTTTATCCACCATCTTGCTATGAATGAACAAAAGAGCCATTCTAACAATCCTAGAGCACTATTTCTAAAACATACAGAAAGTCAGGAAGGATGCTAAAATAAATACAGATATCTCTTCTGGCTTATAATGGTGGCACGTATTTAATAATAAAAAGTCCTTTCTATCTGTACAGCAGTGATGCATGATAAGACCCACATAATCTTAGGCTTTATGGCTAAGGACTAGAAAAATTATTTTCACTGGCACAGGTGATTTATGAAATTGCAGTGACAATATTGTACTCATTCTATATGTATGAACTGTCCTGTATTCATTACAAATAATTTATTATTAATAATGGGTTAGCGTAAAGATTTGCTTCGGTGTATTCAGAAGGCTTCTCAATATGGGATTCTTTGCCAGAATGTTATGGGTAGAATTTTTGTCTGGGAAAGTACCACAGTAAAACAATACTGTTCTTTCATATTAAGAATTTAAACTGGCAAAGCAGTACCACAAGAATGCAGTGCAATTCAGCCTCATGTTGAGTACAATGCCAAACTTTCTTTTGAAGGAAAAAAAAAAGTCAGTTTTCTAAAGAGCAAAATTAACAGCACCCCAAGTACGTTGCTGAAACCTATCCCCGTGGGATCATGAATTCAATTCCATGTTTATAAATAATCAACCCATTTGGGGTCTAATACCAAAAAAAAATAGAACTGCCATCCTATTGATGCTATACAAGTCCTTCTTACACTCTTATTCTGCCCTATCATCACTATAGTAAATGGAAGGACTGTGGCTTTCTGTTAGGGCATACACTCTGTTGGCATAGATCTACAGTTGCTACTATCTCCCATGTGAAAGCACCCACCAACAATGAGTCTTATCTTCTTCCTATGTAGGCAGACTGGGATGTCACAATTGTCAGAGAGAAACATGTGGAATGGCTAGCTAGGCCAACCAGCTGTTCCAAAGAGCTGTGTTCTTTAAAGAACAGAGTCATTTAACTCAAATTCAACCCTTGTCCTTGTCAACCCTTTAAAATAACTATTTCAATCTCTTCTCTTCTCTTCTCTCTCTCTCTCTCTCTCTCTTTCACTCTCTCCCTTAGGTTTCAATAAACTAGCTTTATTTAGGAAGTAATTTTGTTTTGTTAGGCAATTACTATGCAGGTAATAACAAAAAATTGGACTGTTTACTTATTCAAGTAACTATGTTAATTTTAATCAAGGAAAATTGAATTTCTAAAATATGTGTATTTGAACAAAATGGGCCTAAGGGAAGAGTGTTCCTGACTACACTTAATCTTCGGTAAAATAAACTGTAGCCTAAGAAAGATGACGCCCCAAATGAATATTGATTCGAACAGCTTTTAGAATAGTAATGTAAGCAGATATACAGCATATACTTTTTTTTTTTTCTAAAGCATAGACTGAAAATGTAGGATTTCTAGGTTTCGGCCAGATCATGATTATTGTTAACCTTGAACAGGATTATTCCAGTGTTCTTTTTGTTTTCTGCTGCAACATGTTAATCTGACTTGAATGTCAGAATGAATAAAGCAAGTTTAATTTGTTATTTTATTGCTATAGTTTAGAAAAGGAGAAGAAAGCTGGTGTGCTTTTGAAAAATATGCTTCTAAACTCTCTCTCTCTCCCCCCCCCCCCCCCCCCCTCTCTCTCTCTCCCTCTCATTGTTTTCTGCTTTTGTTTTTCAGGTTCATACCTTCAGAGGTCCACATTGGTGTGAATATTGTGCCAACTTCATGTGGGGCCTCATTGCTCAGGGAGTGAAATGTGCAGGTAACAATGAATCAGATTGGAGATGATGTTTTTTTCCATGTAGTAACCGAATTTGTTGCCTTAATCTTTAAATTTAATCTGAAGTGGCAGATACTAAAACTGGATTAAAAATCCTGAAATCTAGAGCTTTCGTGTGATAACGTGTGATTGTCAGTTGCTAAAATGCAGGAAAGAGAGTTGGAAGTGACAAAAGCTTCTGAAATTGCAAAAGCAAAATAAAGATATAAGATATGGCGTTGACAAATCAAGCCTATTTATCCTCATCATATTCCATGTGTGACAAACACATGTCTAGAACAGTGGCCTTTCTGGCACCAGGGACCAGTTTCATGGAAAACATTTTTTCCACAGACCGGGGGGGGGGGGGGGGTGTTCATGCGCAACCTAGATCCTTTGCATGCATAGTTGAAGCTTCACTTGCTCGCTTGCCACTTGCACAGACCAGTTCCTAACATACCACGGACAGGTACTGGCCCAGGGCCCAGGGGTTGGGACCTCTGGTCTAGAATAAGTATAGTTTTATGTGGGTGACCAAAACATTGAAAAGAGGTGCTTTGAAAGGAGAGACTTTAAAGACTGTTCCTGTTTATCTCTCCACATGTGTGCATGGAACAACAGCCCTTCTGTAGTTGCTCTATGTGTCTGTTTGCACAAGTAAAGGAAACTTGGGTGGAGGGGGAAGCAAATCTCATTCTGCAAAACTAAAGATCCTTCAATTGTCTCAATAATTAAGACGTTTCTTTTAACTTGGTATGTGGTATCATTTGCTTGCAGAAATTGTGTAGCACAGCCATTATTGTTGAAATGAATGTCTGTTCATTTTGTCCCTTTCAATATTTTTTGATTTCTTAAGCCAATGTAATTGGTGCATGAATAATGTGCAGTTTAGTATTTAATAGAGCATAATATATTAAAAAGAGATCCAGTTTGTTGTACTGTAGTGGCTAAGACATCAAGGCTGGAAACGGGGAGACTGTGAGTTCTAGGCCTGCCTTAAGCACAAAGTCAGCTGGATGACCTTGGGCCAGTTACTCTCCCTGTCTGTCCTAGGAAGGAAGGCCAGGGCGAATCACTTCTGAAAACTTGCCAAGAGAAAACAGCAGGATCTGTCCAGGCACTCGCCAGGAGTTAATGCTGACTTGAAGGGAGACACATCTACGCATAATATATCAAAAAGAACTAAAAACAGTTCTTCTGAAATGTTAAATGTTTTCAAGAGCAACTTTCTGAGCAGTTTGGTGAACTGGTTGTTGGAAGAAATCATTAGGGAAGAGAACCGGTTGTCAAATTATTTGAATTCCACCACTGGTTATGAGGCTGGCTTGTTCATAGTAAACAAGCAGCTTTAAACCAATCAGATGTTGATCATTGGATATCAACTGTGATTGTGTCTAGAGTAAAATCAGGTTTGGATGCATCTCATTTTCTTTTCCTGAGACACAAGACAGGAAGAAAGGGCATCTGCAAGGCCAATGTTCACCATATTTGCCCATGTAACACTCCACCATAATTTAGCCCATTTAATTATTTCAGATAACTTAGTCTACTAGTCCCTTCAGCAAAAACATCTTGCTGTAGAAAGCAGTATATAAATGGAGTACTCTTGTCCTTTACATTTATCCCACTCACTCAAGTCCACTACGGTATTTTTAAGTTGTGAAAGGAAGAAATGCAGGTGTTGAAATCTCTTATGTCAAAGGGAAAATTAAAACATGTTGATCACTTTTAATTAAAATGGATGGAATGCACTTAACGTCCTTCTATTTAGCTGGCTTTTCTTATTTGAGCTTGTAGACCAGTGGTAATGATAAAAAGTACAAAAGAGAATAAAACCTCTAGAATAGGTTGGCAGATATTGGATGCAAAGTAAACTAAATATGTTTAGTTAGCCTAAAATTTCCCAGCCTTAGGAAGCATACAAAATAATAGATACTTGATACTTGAAAACTACGGTTTCTGCCTGAAACATAAACCTGCCCTGTTCATGATGCCTTAATGAGAAATTTTTAGTCAGATGCTGTTTTAAACCTGATAACTGTTTATTTGTGTCGTTGGTGTGCCCTGCATCTCCTGTGCAGGAATAAAGTAAGGAGGACTGTTGGACTACAGAATAAAGCAGCAGAAAGCATTTACAAGGAGCGTACGTGGACAAGTGTAGGCTAGTAGATCTATCTAGTGGTTGAACCCAGTTTTACTTCTGCCCCAAAAGCTTATCTTGATTTATGTACGAGTCAGCCCAAAAGGTCAGAGGCAGCTGGAGGTGCATTTCACAACCACAGCCAAATGTGTGCAGTTAAACAGAGAGCAGTGAAAACGTTGCTTCAGCCATTCCCTCTGAGAAGCCATGCTAGAATGAGGTCGCCACCACTTTGTGAACCATGTTTGGAAGCCTGAAAAATGTGAAGCACAGTTCTCCCACGAACCAATCTAAGATTACAGAACTTCAAGGCTCCTTCTGATCCTTTCTAGTTTAGCCTGAATGTCCCATCTTAAAAAGAGACTGATGGTCTGTTTGCAAAACTATGGTGGCATAGAACTGAATATTAAGCACCAGCAACTATGTTTGTAACAGAGAGTAAGATAAAATCTGCATCATTTTCATCCAGCTGTTGGTGGTTCGAGAGGAGTATCTGAAGGACCACTTTCTTTGAGTTTAGAGCGCTGCATCTCTTAAGAAATAGTGGGGGGAGGGGAGAGGAATTATACAGGTAGCCTTCAAGTCGTGACCGTTCATCGGCTGTTCAAAATTACAACAGTACTGACCAAGGGGGACTTACGACCAGTCTGCAAAGTTGCAGCCAGTGCACATCCCTGCAATCACCTGATTGTGTTTTCCACTGTTCCCTGTCAGCTCCCCGCAAGCAGAGTCAATGGAAAAGTCAACAGGAAATTGGAAGTCACCCCTGCTGCCACTGCTTTTTTGCCCAGCCGTGCACCTGGCCATGCTAATGTAACACCTGCCTGTTTGTTGCAACTCCTATGGCACATCCATGCTCTGGAGTGCCTCGTCCCACATGGCACCACCCTGCTTTTCTGGGGCTCTGGCTTCTTCCCACTTAATGGCCAATGTGGTTCTGGAGCTACTAAAGCCACCAGGACTGTGGGATTGTTGTTGCTAAGCAATGCGGTCATGTGATGTTGTGTTGCATGACCACATTGCTTAGTGACAGAAGTTCTAATCCCAACTGCTAGTTTCAAGGACTACTTGTAGGAAGATTTTCTCATAAGGTATAGGTAGATGTATAACACAAAAGGGCACTGGGCCTTTTTAAAAGTTTATTTATAGCTTGTATGATAGGTATCTTTTCTACAAAGCATAACCTACCATGGTAACTAGCTTGCAATTTCTCTCCATCACCGTATGTGGGTGGCTTGTCTCTTGCTTAGATATGGTTTATATAATGTCACACTTTCACGCTCTATGCATATAGCCACCTACTTTAAAATAATTCTTTAGGGGTAGAGTTTTCTAAAGCTTCGAGTGGGATGAAGAAAAATGGAAGTCCCGGATACATTTTGAGCAAAAGAGAGAATAAACTTTAGAACACTTTTTTTTTTCTTTTTAAAAATCGACTTCAACATTTTAATGATTTGCTTTCGTGAGAAACAGCAAGTAGAAGAGAGACTGGAACAAAAACACCATACTTATGCTCAAAGTTGCAAGACCTCTGTCACACCTCTCTTCTAATGGAGCATTCCAATGAGGCCACAGATTTTCTTTCAGTAATACCAACAGGCTAAGGAGAAGGAAGAAACTGATGGATATGAGCTATTTTGAAGTATGTGCTTGTCCCTCTACATCACAATCTTAAATTTTCCAGGGTTGGGCCAAGTACATTTAACTCTGCTAATTTTCATCTTATATCTGGGTTATAAGGTGCAGCATTTCATGGATTTCCACATTCTTATGTTTCCCTCCTCCAAAGCACCACATGCATCTCTAATCAGGAATATTTAAGAGGAGAGATTTGCAGCCATTTCCTGCCTTGGACTTGATTATCCAGATTGGGATAATGACTAAATGTAGGTAGGGATTCATACCCACTCTCATTCATGAGATTTGTTCAATGACTTGGGCAAATCACATTTTCTTTTTTTACAGGATAGTTGTGGCATCAAAACAGTGTCCTGGGTTCCTTGGAGAAAGGATTCAAATGGGATAAATGCCTGCAAGACAGTATGGCTGCATTTAGGCTAACCTCTGGTGGATAGAGCAAGGAAACAGGATTGCCAGAACAGTTCATATACACAAAGAGCTAAAGAGTTAGAAGTCTATGAAAAAAAAAAGACAAAAACAACCCTCACTGAAAAGATAGATTCATAGACAGCCTTTGTAACTGATCTGGAAGGGAAGTTTAGCTAGATGAAAGTTTTACAGTCCAAGTAGTTTACTTTACCACTAAAAGGCACCAATGCTGTCCTTTCACTCAGGAGAGATGAATGCTACATTGAATAGGCATGAGATTCTTTTGGTGTCTCCGAGGTTGTAGGTCTGTTTCTAGGAGGAAACATCAAGATTGAGGTAACTGAGCATTTAAGACAAATTGTGAATATCTTCTACGAGCGAGCACTGTTCCTTGTTCACGGTATTCCAGTGTAGATTAAAATTACCTACACCATGAAATCCATTCTTTTTTCACAGTTAGCTGAGTTAGTTATCTTCATTAAATAGCTCCATCAGAATAAGATATATATAGAGAGAGAGAGAGAGGTGGGGGGAGGAGAGAGAGAGAGAGAGAGGTGGGGAGGGACAGAGGGAAGAAAGAAATAGCAATAGCACTTAGACTTAATATACCACTTCACGGTGCTTTTACAGCCCTCTCTAAGCGGTTTACAGAATCAGCATATTGCCCCCCAACAATCTGGGTCCTCATTTTACCCACCTTGGAAGGATGGAAGGATGAGTCAACTCTGAGCCAGTCAGAATCAAACTGCCAAATTGCAGGCAGTCAGCACTCCTCCTTTCAGCCAGCCTATGAATCACATCCTTGTGATAAAGCTAGGGAGGCCCCAATTTATTTATTTCAAAGATTTATAGGTAGTGGTCAATTTACAACCATTCACCTAGTGACCAAAGTTACAACAGCACTGAAAAAAGTGACTTATGACCGTTTTTCACAGTTAGGACCATTGCAGCATCCCCCGTGATTCCGTGATCAAAGTCAGACATTTGGCAACTGGCTCATATTTATGACAGTTACAGGATCCTGCCAGGATCACTTTCTGTGACTTTCTGATAAGCAAAGTCAATGGAAAAGCTAGATTCGCTTTACAGCAGTGTTACTAACTTAACACCTGCAATGATTCACTTACCAATTGTGGCAAGAAAGGTCATAAATTGGGGCAAAACTCGCTTACCAACTTACTCTCGCTTAGCAATGGACGTTTTGGGCTCAACTGTGTTGTAAGTCGAGGACAATCCATATATGGCCTCCCATCTTATGCAACTCTGTTTTAAAAAGCTGTACTTTTACATTTGTACTTTTATAAAAATATAAACGCTGCACTTTTCAGAACAGACTGAATTGTTAGCCAGGCGGATTTCCTGAATTGCATTAATGATAGGCTGTTATTTCAAAATGAGAATGTAGAGCTTTCTTTTTAGAAATTCTTCTATAAGGCGCCAAACTTAACACTGGGGTCTGGTTGAAAATCTATGTTTTCAGTTATATCTACTGAAGAAACAAAATCTTGATTATTCTCATAGCATTTTTTTTTTGAATTGAGATAAGCTTGTGTAAAGAATAGCAAATACATCTTTTCCTGTATTCTGAGCAAGTAAATGTATTCCCAGATCCTAAATTGCCCTTGAATTCGCCCCGAATGCAGCATATCTGAAATGGCTTATTTCATACACTTAACCTCCAATCCAATTCTGATTTCACAGCAATCCTAAAACTATTAGAACTCTCTTGCTGTCTTTTTGAATAGCATTTAAGCTTTTTTTCCCCCTCATTTATGTTAGTTCTTAAACCTGACACAGTACTTATTCTTCCCCAGTGTAACTTACAAATAGGATGGTTCTGTATTTAACACACACTGATATTTCTATAATGCGTACTTGGCAATTGTATATTTTCATGAATTATAAGCAGGTTGAAGGTGAGGGATGATAAAAATCAAATCAGCAATAGATGGGAAAGTGACAGCTCTGCTTATTTGTACTCTCAGCAAATATTTGAAATAGATCCTCTTGGGGCAGCCTTAATACAGTGCTTATAGGTTTTGTGTTTGCTCATGCGTTCATAAAAGCACATTATTTCAGTTTCATTGGAAAATGTTGACGTCGATTTTTTCCCCCTGCTCCTAAATATAAAACCTTTTCTGTAGTGCTCTAGAAATGAAAGAGAAAGAGCAGCTCGCCTGAGAGGTTTTAGCTTAATGTATCTGAAAATCCACTTCGCATTTTTTTTTATGTTTTTGAAGCTTTTTGCCACCTAATAAAATTAAATATGGTCTAATCTCCTCTGCCTCGGTGGTCTGAGGAAACTACAAAACATTTGGGTAACCTGATAATGAGATAAAGAGGATTTCTGGTTTTAGAGGCTTTGAAGGAGAGCAGCAATGGATTCAGATGATTCCTTTTCATAATAGTGTTTCTGCTTTGATTCACATGCACGCACACACATACAGGGCGGTGGGGGGGGGGAGAGAAACAAAGGTTGGTGATAAAACATGCCCTTTGCATCAAGAAAGGACTAGAGGCCATTGGCAGAATCTCAAAGGAGTTCCAGTAGCAGGATTTGGAATGACCTGTCCTTGGGTTGGGCTTTCCAGAATCAGTATTGGGTGACTTCAACACAGGGTGCCCTTCCAAAACCCACTTACTCGTGCTTTATGGTAACTGTAGGTAAGGTCTGCTTAGAGCTAGAGGATGTTCAAGCAGCTCGCTGAGCATAGCTTCACATGTCTTTTGGATGTGTCCACAAAATTTATGATAGGTAGCTAGAAATGTAACCTATTTGTTCTGCTGCCAGGCTTTGAAAGCTTCAGAGCTAAAAAGGTGTATTTTGCCACTGGCAAAATCAGCCAGCTCTAGTGATGAATGACCCAGTCCCCTAATTTAGTGCGGTAGAATTTAAGAAATTAAACCGACAGGTATCCCACACCTAGTTATCTGCAAAGACTGACATCGTGATTAAGTGAGAATGGATTCTGTGCTGTTCTGATTCACATCCTGCATAAATCCACACAACCGTAGCCGCAACTTTGGGAGTGTTGCGTAGTTTACAGGTATAGCTTTCATTGCGCTGAATCTCACGCTAACGTTTCTTTTTTGTCTTTTTCCCTTTCCTCAGATTGTGGCTTAAATGTTCATAAACAATGCTCCAAAATGGTCCCGAATGACTGCAAGCCGGACTTGAAGCATGTTAAGAAAGTGTACAGCTGTGATCTCACTACGCTGGTAAAAGTACACTTAACAAAGAGACCAATGGTTGTAGACATGTGCATTAGGGAAATTGAGTCGAGAGGTAAAGCATATTTAAGTGATTTGGTTGCCTTGCTAATCATCCTGTTAAATTGATCTCACGCAGTTGGAGGCTAGAACTAACTAGTTTTACCCAGGGTGTCCTAAAATTATCAGTGGCCTTGGAGAAAAACAAATCTAAATCCCATTCATTTAGAAAATAGTATTATATAGCAAATCTCTATATTACTGTCTTTTCTTTGATACTATAGCACCGAGATAGAAAAATATTGTTCCATTAGATTTGGATGATATTTATGCTACTGAGAACTAACATTCCTTTTTTGAAATCATTTTTGTGAGAAATACTGTATATTTCCTCCACCAAGTCTTTCTTCGCTATGCTTGTTCGTTACTTACATAACTTTAAATATATGTAAATCAGTATAAATATCCAATAGGAGAGGGGGGGTTTTCTGAGCAAATAGCTCAAAGTCAATATTCTCATTCATTTTGGGGTTTCCACAAATGGCTTGGTCAGTTTTTCTATACTCTTTCATAACATGTTCACCCATCTGTTCATATCACTTAACAGATTCCTCACCACCCTTTGGATTACATTCTATCAGAATATTATCTAGTTTTCCCAAATGTATTCCTGGTTCTTTCATTATCCCCGGAGCATAATATGCAACTATCACCAGCTTGTGGATTCTTAATTTTATATCTATCTATCTATCTATCTATCTATCTATCTATCTATCTATCTATCTA